TCTTTATGATAGTATTGTTTACCTTGACCTTTCGAGCTGACCACGCGAAATTTTTTACTACAAATTTTTGTGGCATTAAACATAGGTTTGAAACGTTAAACTTGTTTTTTTTTATTGTTAGGCACCATTAGAAAAAATTTATAAGTGATTGTCACGGGCGGGACACGATAAAACGTTTCAAAATCTTTAAAGTAGGCACTTATAATATAATAAAAGAAAAGTAATAGGGCTGCATAGTATAAACATACTCTATTTAGTTATGAAATTATATCCCTAAAGTAGTAACGGCAATACGAAGTTTAAAACTTTTGTGTCACGGGTTGGACATGCAAAACCGTAGTGATATCATCCCATTATATAATTTAAATGCCAATTTTGCTTCAATGCCATGTTGCTTCTTTGGGACGAAGAGAGATCGAGACATTTATTCCCTACTTCAAAAAAAATAATAACTTTGTAAATACTTGATTTTGCAGAGCCTAAATTTTTTCTTCGAAAATATCTTTATTTGAGGTATTTAGCATAGATTCATCAAGTATTCCATGTTCAATAAGTTACTTTATAATTAGACACAAAGTTTCACTTACTCATGGAATACCCCTACTAGTTTACAGCCACTTGAAACTTGCACTTTATTATACTACTAGCAGACCCGGGGAACTTCGTCCCGCCCAAAATTGTTATATATTTTATTGAAACTTTTTGGTCCAACATTTTCACCAACAATTCACGTTTACGATTTTCATTGGCACATTTGTCTGCTAAGATTAAGGTTTGGTGGTCATTTTCCGCTTTAAATAACCTAAGGAAAGTGTTATATCCGTGAAGAAGTTCTTAAAATTCTCCAGTTGTGCGGAATTTCATAGCACGGTTATTCGCAAAGCGAAATAAATTTTTTCCTCTTCACTCCCTTCCGGCAACAATGATCCGGTTCTATAGTGAATGTCCTAGAAGCTTTACAGTATAGTAGGTGGCAATTTCAAAATGAGTGCGAATCATTGTTCTACAGAAATGCAATATACATATACTTATTTTAGACGAAATACCTTAAATGTTTGAATAATATATTGGAAAATCACATCCATTGGGCCAATTGCAACGCAGGAGCGTTCGATATACTCAATGGTGCAACAGGTCGATTTAAACTGACCTTCACGGCCCCTTTTCTCACTTGGCTATTTTTAGTAATAGCTCGACTTCAGCACCACTTGGCAGCACGTTTTTGCAATAGTATTGCATACATATTTAAAACATTAGCCAAATCGGATCATAAATAAGATTTGTAGTAATAACTCTACTACAGCGCCAACTGTCGGATTAAATTGTGAAACTAAACCATCCAGAGACCCACTCAAATACACAAAAAGTTTCGTTAAAATCCGTACAACCATCTAGGAGGATTTCACTCACAAACACACCTACAGAAGAATAAAACAATTCATTCAAAGATAGCTAAAGGTCGGTACGTTTGTAGGCCTCACACCCCTTTTCAAATAGCCCAAATTTTCTCCATGAGTATGGGCTTGATTTCAACTATATACATATCTCGATACGAAGTTCCAGTACTGTACCATGAATACTTTCAGAGATATGCAGTATAAAAATTCGATTTATATGGGAGGTGCCACGCCCCCCTTTCCAACAGCTGCCCTCTTTCTTCATGATTATGCGATTGATTTCGTATATCTCCATACCAAGTTCCAGAACTCTACCAAGAAAACTTCCAAAGATAGGCAGTATGAAAAATTCGGTTTGTATAGAAGATCCCACGCCCCCTTTTCCAATAGTACCAATTTTTCTCCAAGAGTATGCGATTTATTTCGTACATCTCCATACAAAACTCTAGAACTCTACCAAAAAATTTCCAGAGATAAGCAGTATGAAAAATTCGGTTTGTATGTAGCTAAAATTTTACTCCAAGGGTATGCGATTGATTTCGTATATCTCCATACCAATTTCCAAAACTCTACCATGCACACTTTCAGAGATATGTAGCATGAGAAATTCGGTTTGTATGGGAAGTGCCACTCCCCCTTTACATATAGATTTTTTTTAGCCTAAAACCATCCTTGGGACACGTGCGGCAGGTGGCAGTCTTGCCCAGAGCCGAATTCGCCCCTTGATATGGTCGTTACTTAAAGCTATTTATATTCGAAATTGCATGAAAATTGGAAAACAGGAATCTATAAGCTTATCCAGGCAAAAAGCTACCTACGTACCGAATTTTAAGCAAATCGGACCGTAAATTCGATTTTTTCGAATAGATCGGTCCCTGGACCACTTCCCGGAAAAAATGGGTCATATATGCTAATATATGCTAAAAAGCAACTTACATACTAAATTTTAAGCAACTCGGATCATAATAAGATGTTTTCGAATAGACCGGTCCCTGGTCCACCTACCCGAAAAAAGTAAA